TTTATTTATTATTTAACAGTATTTTTCAGTGTTTGAAAACACGCATAAAAAATAACTATCGATTTACCAAACATTTTAACTTATATTGTTCTCTCAGAACACTAGAAATGGCGTTTCTGGGGGAGCATGCCGCCTTACCCCGCCCCTAGCGGCTCGGTCTTGGTCTGTTTCGTCCCCAGTCGTCTGTAAGTTGTCTCTACTCATTAATTATTTACTAGGGAAGCGCTAAAGTGCCCGTTCTAGTCTTCCACGCCAAATACTAACAATGAGAGACGACTGGGGACGAGTCAGGGTCTTTGTCCTCATTCGCTAATCTTTGTTTGAAATACAAAAGGTTGGACGGTCTGTCTCAGTCCTGAAATACCTTTTTTAGGTATATAGTATTATTTTTCAAGGTAATTTCAGGTATTCGGTATCAAACGTTTTGCAATTTTTAGCTACATTGGTGTCCGATGAGGCAAAAGCGGATATATTGGTATCCCACTGCCCCTTTATCACCCTCTCCCTGTCTATGCTGACCGGGCCTGAAAATATGGAAGGACGGAGTCCATGCCGTGAAAATAATGATTCATTACCAATACAAATTCCTCGGTGTGATACGCATTTTGTGAAATTTAAAGAGGAAAAACTCATGCAATAACTCATGCAATTAGGGTATTTTTTTTCCCAGAGAGAAACAGAAATTTCGTTTATCACAAAGATTTTGGCCGCCGACGAGTTACATAGGATGTGACCATAACATTACGCGACAAATCACGCTATGATTTGATTGTGAAAATTAACAAAAAGGCATAACCTCAGCTTCCATCAAGGATCTAAAGAAAAGGTAAGCTTCTTATTTACCGACAACAGATAAGACGGTAAATGACTTTTTTTTGTTTTGCGTCAAACGTTTTTAAATAGCCTGAATGACTGTTACAATAATTTATGCACCGCTGCGAAATTCACTCTAAAATTGCCGAAAAGACTGAAAATTCTACGTTGCCTTTCCTGTACATGATTTGTATCCCGGGGTAGTGATACTTATTTTCATTTCTTAGAGAGCTTGAATCAACTTCTGATCTAGAGAATACTATTTTAAAAAAGAATTGTTTACTGTTTACTGCAGGTAGTTACAAGACCACGGCGCCCACCAGTTGATCATGGTAATTAGTAACATGCATGACCATCCCTGTTAACATGTGTTAATATATCTCTTTCGATTCAAAAGTACTTAAGAGGCCGGAGAAAAATTCAAGTGTCAAAAGAGGCAATATTTCATGGAACTTTTTTAAACTTGTACAATCGTGACATCTGATACGGCCAATAATTATGCAAATACGCAAAATGGAAGATTACAATCTACTGTAGATTGCAATCCCAGAAGATATCCGCAAGTCTGAGCCTACAAACCAAAAAAATAAGCTTAAAACTTTACTTTGATATGATTTTTATACCAGATTTAGGCCGCATCTTTTGAGTTATTTAACCTCAAATTTTCCTTACTTTCAGGGTTTGGATTAAGCCTGCAAAATAGGTGGTCTTTGAACCACTGTAACTTGAACATGTTTTGATCAAAGATACTTTTATTTAGCCTGTGAACTATCGAAGGTTAACTAAAAAAACTGAATTGAAAAGATTTTTTGTGCGGGCATTCGTTTGTTTGCAACGCGCTTTTCAAAATCCATCAATTTTAGTCTTTGAAACACTCTCTGAGAGGCCGAGACAGAGTGGATTGAGTCGACTCAATTCGTTTTTGGCTTGTAGCAGAGCCAAGAATAAGAATTTTAGTATACACCCACTAAAGCCTCTTCACCGCCAAAAAGTAAAGGAAAACATTTTTATGTCGTGAAATCGAGTGCACGGCTTTTAGAGGGACTGCCTCTTTTAAAACACGTTCGTACGAGAATTTGTTTTTTTTTTATCTCTCAGTGTCTGTAGTTGGGACGAAATTGAAGGGAAAAAATTCAGCAAGGTAGGCTTGTACATTTGTATTTTTGCCAATTTCTCTTCATTTTTAATGTCTTTGACATCATATTTATTTCCGTGATCCTCACTGCAGGTCTATTTCAATCAGGCAAGCCCGCCCAATACAAGTGTTATAAAGGCTTTAAGGTACTTGTCTCTCGATCCAACCTTGTCACGTTCCTCACTTAATTTGGCTAAAAATATTTTGATTGTGCAAATCAAGACGACCTTTTTTGTGTGTTCCAAAACTGATCAGTTGTTCCAGAAGCCTAAAAATCAATTTATTGTAGCCTCGTCGTTTTACATCGAGACTGGCTCGTTAATAAATATTTGAAGTTTTATAGCTCAACCCTGTCGCTGCTGAAAAAAGCTGCAGTTGTTTTAAAACTTCGCCTTCATTTCGAAAGTCTGGAAAATAGTGTAAAAAAATCCAGTTAAGTTATTTCTGTAGCTGCTTACTCCTCTTCGAGCACAATTCGAGTCGTGTATGAGTTAAAATGAAATATCCCTTAGGAAACTTCAGGTTGCATTCTTCTCTATAATGCGATCATGTTTGTCGCAATTAAGTAACAAATATTGTGATTGCGATCTGCAGTTCAGTATGAAATTCAGCGTAGGGAAAGAGGGGGAAATTTTCTTTGATGTGGAAACTGAATACCAACTAAAACTGTGATAGTAAACTTCTAGTTCAGAAGTTACGTAACTAACAAGGGTTGTTTTCTTATTTTTGCATAAAATCCTGAACGCTTCTAAACAAAGACGTTTTGCAACGCGTCATACCATTGGTCAATCTAGAAATGATTTATCCAATAAGAATTTTTGTCCTTTTTCATGTTTTTTACGTCACTGGCCTTCAAAGTGTTTCAAACTTGCAACTTACCAAATTAAACGAACGACTTATGATCGGTCAGCTCAGTGTGAGTTAACCAATGAGAATATTTTGCCCTTTTTGACATTTTACTGATAACAAGCCTTTGAACGTGCTAAAAATCATGTTTTTTAGCACGTTCAATATGCTAAACGTGACTGCAAAACGACATAAAAGATCAGCAATATTAAGCCATTCATCATTTTGTGCAACGGAGGACTACAGACATACAAGCAAGGTTGGTATTTTCTCGTCCTAGTTTTACTATACTAAGCCTAAATAGTTAAAAATTCAGCTCTTAAAATACTCAATGTAAGTTTTCAATTTGAAGTGTTCCTTTCAGGTTAGATTACCAACTTCACTCAGTTGTGTTTGCTTAACTGAAGATATTTTACTGGCAGTTGGCTATTTTGTTATGACGTACATCTTTTCAGTTTATTACCCCCGCGGGGATTTCGCCCAGAAGGCGAAATCTCGAGGAGGCACCCTCGCGCGTATATTAAGGAAAGTACTTACAGCTGAAACAGACAGTCAGCATGCCAGAAAAAAATCCAGATTTGCTTGAACAGGGGCCGCGAGGAATGGGTAAGTAATAATGACGTTTCTATTGCTTGCGCCCGCAAGTACGAAATGGTTAAGATGACGTAAAGACAGAAAATCCCGAAGGGACCCCTTAGGTAGATTTTGTGACATTCACTGTGCAGTCCGTACTCTTTTGCGTTACGTGTTATCATTGACACTTCTGTGGAGCAGTTGTTTTGAAAGTTATGGATCAAAAGACACTCGTTAAGCGCAGATGAAGTTATAAGGTGCGTATAACTATAGACACTTGGAGAGTTCAGTGCCACAAACGAGTTCAAAAGTCTTTGATTGGAAACCTAGCCAGACACTCTTTCTCTCTCTTTGACCGGAATAAGACTCACCACCAAAACAAGCAAGACGAGTGGATCAACGGCTAGCTTATCACTTACAGAAATTCGCCGACAGTTAAATTCTGTGCTGACTTATTCCCTGCTCACAGATGTCCTTCAGCTATAGGGTTTAAAACAAGACTAGAATGCGCGAGCGTGAATTGATCAAACGTCCTTTTAATTTCTAAGGCTAAGTACTTTCCGGCAAATAAAATGAACTGAATGTAAAAAGTGAAAGAGAAACAGCGAAAAACTCAACTTCTAATTAAATCTTTTCTTATGGCTTAGAATAAACTATTCTCGAAACTGAGAATGTAATGATCAAAGCTGTGTAAATCGAACAGAAACTGTGCATGGAACCTTGCGTTTCCTGTATTTATCTCACCTATTGTATGGAATATGTGTAAAAATCTTGATTATGAATCCGACGGGTATATTTAATTTCAAAGAGCCACTAAACGAGCAGAATACAGAGCGGGGCAGCTGTAGTGTCAACTATTGCTAGTTATTTCTATTTAGAGTTACGTTCTATTTTCGCATTTTCATGAACCACCTGAAATTGGTTTTACAAAAGACGGTTTTATAGTCGTATTAGTTCTTCCATATTTCTAAAACCTGAAAAAAGTAGAATTGCGGAAACCGATGATTGATTCCCAGGGGCGGATCCAGGATTATTTTTAGGAGGGGGTGCACTCATCTCTTTTCTACTTCAACACCAATAAACCACATAGTTTTTTTTTTTTTGTTTAGAAAACCGCATTTTTTTAATTGATTCCTGTAACCGGTCATCTGTTTGGCTTGTTTTGTTTTGATTTTTTTTTAATTCGAAAGTTGAGAGTAAGAATTCGATAACTATCAAGACTACTTGGTTTAGTAGTCTTCAGTTTTCCTCAAGTATAATGTAGCGAGCAGAATACGCCAATACATGTAGCCTGGAGTGCAGGCGTTTTCTTTGGGCGCGCAAATGTTTTTGCTCGCGAAAGCGCCATGTTGAAACTTTCCGAAGAGAAAAGGAAATGGGGCGAGTCCCCCCTTTCCTTCTTTTACCCTCGCACCTACCCTAAGGGCTACTATTTCTACTCTCCTTAATCTTCCACTGTCATAAAACCAAAGATGGCGGCTACAACAATACGAACACGAACAAGGTTTCGCCCACCCAAAATACGCCTGCACTGCAGGCTAATACACGTGAAAATCTTCACTTTTCCTGAGAAGAATTAAAAATACTGCTCTCTTTGTGGTGATTGTTAAACAATTAATATATTTCATTCCACAGTTTGATTCTGCGATCATGCTATTCTGTATGAAGATACCATCGGCCATTATGTTATGGATAGTACCGTTGCTGTTGATCCCTTTGTGTTCGGCTGCGAGTAGTAAAAACAACGGCAGCAAGGTGAGTTTGATTTGTTAAATTTCAGATGATCCGGACTTTATTTGATATCAGTGATTAATCGAGAAAGTTAACGGTCGTTAAAAGTATTCAATTGCTAGAAAAAAATGGAGTAAAATGGAAAGGACTCAATGAAAGTATGTGTCAGAATGATTGTCCTAACATCCGACGACGTTTTCAACTTTTTTTTGTATATCTAGACATGTTTTATGCTTCACTTTTAATTATACATATTAATGGTAGAATTTATAATCGAACTGGACAGTCCCCTAGTCAAATGAATGTAAATGAAAAGGAAATGAATAATTGAGCAATAATAAAATCAGCATTAGTAGTTGAATTGTTGCTTAACTGAATGAACGAATGATGGACTTGACAAATAAGTGAATTTAGCAGTGATAGTCATGTAGTGCCAGTGGCCAAAAGCAGACTCCTTCTCGCGTCTTGTTTTACTGTTCTTAGCTGTCATTTATTATTATTAATTAATATTTATCGTCAATTATTTAGTTACTTGTTTTTCAAGGGCTATTCAAGGAACAAACATACCAAGTGCATTAACTCCAAATCAAAGAGAATAAATAATGCATTGATCTTTTTCATTGATTTCTGCCCTTAATTTCCTCAACAGAATTCACAAGATGGCTCCTGTGGTTACTCTCCGTGTTTCTGCGCACCGGGGATACCGGGCATCCCAGGATACCCAGGACCGGCGGGACCAGCTGGTACAACGGGATCACCCGGGAATAACGGACCCGAAGGACCTATGGGTCCACGAGGAGTCAAAGGCGATGAAGGACCCCGTGGAAAACAGGGACTTCGAGGCCCCAAGGGAGGAACAGGTTCAACTGGTCCAGCAGGCCCACTCGGAAGCAAGGGTGATGCAGGTCCCCCTGGCCCCAAGGGACCACAAGGCCCCTCGGGTCAAGCTGGAAAGAAGGGTGATACAGGTCCTCTTGGAAGTCAAGGTCCCTCAGGTCCTAAGGGGGCTTCAGGGTCTTTTGCACGTAATTGGAAACAGTGCGTTTTTAAGGGTCTGAGCGATGGCAGAGACTCTGGATTGGTCAAGGTAAAAGCTAAGTTGGCCTCAGAATGAAAAGTTCGTCAGTACTTGGGTTTCATTTAAAAGGAACGAATTTCATTTGAAGGTCTTGTTCGCAAATTTGCGTAGATTAGAACCAGTGGCCCTTGTGGCTCATTTCTTTAATTATTTCCAAACAATTCACAATTTTATCGAGTGAAATCTTGCAAATCAAATGTTTTTACAAGGAAGCATTCCTCAGCAGTTTTGCATGGTAATACCATAGGATTTTGTTCACAGATTAAAGTGTTAGTTTAACCCACCTTGTACCACTGTACCATACGAAAGCATTGTTGAAGAGGTGTAATTCAGTGCCCGATCCAGACCTTGACATAAGGAGGTGGGGGGCGGGGGAAGAGTCTCCAAAAAAATCTCTTTTGGCCCTTTGGGCCTCAGTTTGGTCTGAAAAATAAAAATGTGGGAAGGGGGTACCCGGTACCCTCCACTGGATCCGCTACTATAATTTGAATCGTTGTAACTTGAATATCCATAGACTCTAAAGTTTGCCAGAGCTGTCTCTCTGTGGGTAAAGGATTAAAAGATTACTCTGGTAATCTTTAATTTGGTTGCTCTTTCCTTTCAACAGGAATGTATTTTCAAGAAAGCGTCGGACAACACAAGTCTGCGTGTCTACTGGAGTGGTCAACTCCGCATCTTTAACTGCGACAGCTGTTGTAGGCGATGGTATTTCACTTTTAATGGCGCAGAGTGCTCGGCTCCGGCAGCTATTGATGCCGTAGTCTACATGTCTAAAGGAACTGGCAGCAGGATAAACAATTTGTACCGCCCACGTCACGTCGAGGGAATCTGCGATAAAATCAACAAAGGCACTGTGCGCGTGGGATTCTGGGTCGGCAACTGCTCAGGTTACGGTTCTGCAGATGCGAACACAGGATGGAACTCGGTGTCCCGGATCTACGTGGAAGAAGTACCACCCCCGCAAGCTTAAGAACAGCAGATTCAAATTTTTCATAAACTTAGGGTATTTCCTATAAAGGTTTATAGCTTTAAATCTAATTATTGTTAAATAAACTATTAAAAAACGCCGCTATTGTAAGGTATGGTTTTAAGATCCTAAAATGTGTATGAGGAAGATATGAGGCTTGGTAAAACCACATAAAGTAAATCAACTCCAGATGAGATTATCATACTGTCGTATTTATTTCAACACCGTTTCCAACATGAAAAACACAAATAAAGCTTTTACAAGCAAAAATCGGTTTCAGGATACACACTCAGTGATCTTTGTAGTGTTTTAGCATCGCGAGTAAATAATTCGTGAGCTCGTTTTTTTGCCAATTTATTTAGAGTAAGAACCTTTCAGAATTCGGTAAAATCCTAGGGTCCATTTTTTTGAAGGTAAGAAAAGACTTCAAAGTTTCAAAAGAGCGTTTTCGGATTATCTTTAATTAGCAGTATTTTTTGCTCGATGGAATGTTGACAATTACAGTTTAATCGAGTAGAAGAGGTGTGTAAACTTAACATTTCCTTTATTAAAGACAAATTTTCCACCGAAATCAAATTCAACTGACTTATGAGAAAAAAAATGAAAGCAAATCTTAGGAAAAGCTCGAGATTTCAATTAAACAGGACAGAGAAAACTACAGAGAAACGGCTCCTTACCTCGAGCAACCGGGCCACCATTGTTTGAAGAAGAACAACACAAAAACCTTTTTCTGCACAAAAAGATGAAAACAAAGCCTTTTTTCCTAACTTTTACAGCTGAATTTACAGATGAAAACAAAACCCTTGGGCTATTTTCCGATTTTTTGCAATGGCTTGGAGAATATAGTTCAAAACCACTTAAACATAGCATTGTTTAAACTTTTTGGTGGTAGATTCCATATTTTTACCCATTAAAATTTTTGTTTCTAGCTATTTGATTTTATAGGGATCAAAACTGTTTGAAAATTCTGCCAAAAAATCAAACCTATTGTTTACCGATTTTTGATGTTCGAAAATCTTAGCATGATTTGATCCGTCAATCAAATTGAGCTTTTTGGTTTCTTTACTGATTTAGGAATATTAACCTGGCCGCGAATATTCCGCTTTTATTAACCTCGTGTTCAATAAAGAATAATTGCTGATTGTCCGATGTGAAGTGCGTAACAAAATATCTGTCAAGAATTAAGGAATTAAAAAGTGTGTTCCACAAGATTCCCGCCTTCCCGGCCATGTCCTTGACAAAAATACTGCAAACCTTTATACATTCTTTTTCTTCTTTTTTCAATAGAAAAACGTCCACACGGTCTCTAGTACGGTCGTCTTTGTAGGACCCGCGCGTTTTGTGTGCAACGCTTATTCAGGCTGCAATGCTAATTGTCTTCTTTCCAGCTGTTCAAACAAAAAAAAATGGTCACACCGTCGCTTTAACCGATTTCTACCGTTGCTTGTAAAGGACCCTTTTGTGTAGAAGTTTTAAGCAGTTTCTATGGTAGGTTCTTTGTTGAAGAAGGTCAATTTATCAACTCCACATGTGCCGCCATTTTTTTTATTTGTTGACGCCGCCTCACTTTGGCGGGCTGAATAGTGAAAGCGAGTCTTCCGGAAGTCAACCAGTTTACCGGAAACTGTTTCCGCGTGGTCCGCATAGTTCTAAAAATAACTTTTTTGAAATTAAGATATCCCGGCCTACGTCCTTAGACTCCCTCTCTGTCCTATTATGGCTCTTGACAAAAGTGCATGTGATAGCAAAAAGCCAACATTTTAAACTAAATTCACGAAACATTAGCAACACGATAAAGTATAACAAATACTCAGAAGAATCAAATTCTTCAAACTCTAGGGCCGACACTGGCGGCAGGTCTCCTTTAAACGGTCCCGGAACCCCCTTGGGACCTGGGGGACCTCGAGCACCTGTATCACCCTTCTTTCCAGCTTCTCCCGAGGGTCCTTGTGGTCCCCTGGGGCCAACGGGACCTTGAGCTCCGAGAGGACCTGCTCCACTCTTGTATTCGCGTGTGCCCCAGGATCCTTGAGGTCCATTATTACCAGGTGATCCCGCAGCACCCGTTGAACCCGCAGGTCCCCGCGGGTGCCCGTGGAATTCCAGGGATGCCGTTAATTCCAGCTGCACAACGCGAAGTGTATTTACAGTTAGAGCCATTTTTTACGTTCTGCTTAGGGATGCTCTAGACGAAGAAATACTGAAAGGAAAATCATTTATTATTTTTGGATTTCGCTTTACGGACAGATTGAAGATTGAAGATTGATTGATTGATTGATGTTTCGAGTGCTAAGTAATCAACACTGCCAGCACCGCACCAATCAGAAGCCGCGTTCGTAAGCGAACGCAGTTTATCAAAATCGTGGGTTTTGCGGGCAAGCGTTTCCTTCTCCCCCCCCCCCCCCTTTATAATTTTTTTTTTTTTGCTCTCGTCCCAACTTTTTCGACGAACTCGCGCGGAAACGCTTGCAACATTTTATCGACCCGACTAACTGCCCCTGGGTCTCCGAGGATGAAGAAAAACTAAAATGTACAACAAATAGAAAAATTACGAAGCAGGAAAAAAAAAAAAAAAAAAAACGGGAAAACCATACTTACAAGATCTGAACAAGGCCACTCCCGAAACAACGACTGATTTTCATGGGTGAGAAAGAAAATTTGTATACTTAACCGAAGACAAAAATAGACCTAACGCAGTTACGAAAGTTGACAATCGCGATCACGTCTACGGTAATTTCCATGTAACGCTTTGGACAAAAACTGCAGATAATCTTGACCACCAGGTATCTATAGAAATTTCCATACATCTGCTCAAACAACGAATATGTAGTATACATTTTCTGCCAAAAGAGTCTATAGAAATTTCCATGCGTTGCTTCAACTTCTTTTGGACAAACGTTGCAGATATTCTTTACCACAGAGGTGTCTACAGAAATTTTCATGTAATACTTATCCACTTAGACGACGATTAAATAATTATTCATTACGTTTTCTGTCAGAAAGAGTCTATAGAAATTTCCATGTAACTTGTACTTCTTCTGGACAAGTTTTCAGACAGCCGAGGTCGTTCGCAACCTCTAACTTAGCTTTTACGGACGTCTGAGAATCAGGATAAGCCGCGTGGAGTCTACAGATCTAATAAATTGTTTATACCAAAAGAGTCCCAATGAAATGTCCATGTAAATGTTATAACTGGTTTTAAAGCAATCGAAATCAAAAAAGGAAAGACAGATGATGCGTTTCGAAGACATCACTGCTGACCCTTGTCTAGTCAAATGGGCTAATAGAGGCACTGGCTGAACAGCATCGGATTGATTCAATTGTCGGCTTGTGCTAAGAGCATAGTTTGACTTCGCGCGGGACCAATTTTTCCTTTTCTTGGTTTAGAACTTTTCTTACAGTGTGACTTTGAAGTGAATCGCAAGGACGTAAATAATTCAAAATGATCTGAACAGAAGGTCTCCATGGATATGTTGTTCAATACAATAATAAAAAAAGAAACTCAATTACTAGAATAATTTAATGTCTGATCATTTGGGAAGTATGCACCTCCACAGTGGTGACAATTCAACTCTTACCTTAATACAGTGTCCTTGCCGTCGGCCAGTTTCGGAAAAACGCACTGTTTCCGATTACGTACTAACGGTCCCGGAACCCCCTTGGGACCTGGGGGACCTCGAGCACCCGTATCACCCGTCTTTCAATCTTAACCTGAGGGGCCTTGTGGTCCCTTGCGGCCACTAAGGCCTTGAGCTCCAGGAGGACCTGCTTCACCTTTGTATCCACGTGGACCCCTTGGTCCATGAAGTCCATTATTTCCAGGTGATCCCGCAGCACCCGCTGGACCCACGGGTCCCGGGAGTTTTACAGAAGCCATTTTTAGGGCCTGCTTAGGGATGCTCTAAACGAAGAAAAAGAAAAATGCATCGTTTATTGTTTTTGGAATTACAGTCGTAACCCGCTTTACGGACATTTGCTACGGATACCTCTCTATTACGGACATTAATGCGGACAACTGACACTTGTTTCTTGCCCAATCAACAGATTCGCATAGAAAGGCAATCTTGTT